GATGTCCATAAACTGGCTTACCATCTGACAATGCTACATACAATAGCATATAGAGACTCCTGCAAAGTAGTGCTTAAGGGCAGAGATGAGAGCGTCTTCCTGATCAACAAGAAAGCAGCAAGGAGCAACTTCAAGCTCCCGAACAAGCTCAAGGAAGCTGTGGATTACTGCATCGTAATCTTCAATTGTTTCTCCAGGCATGAAAGCGTACCCTATGTCAAATGTAGTACCCAGAGCAGTTACGCCAGTTATATGCAGCAAGAGCATATTGAATCGATTGGTCTTGTAAGTGCAGTCGATAATAATGATGTCGGAGTTTTGTTTAAGTATCTTCATAGAGATTGGGTGGGTAAACAATACCCAGTGGAGTTGGTCTTGCTCGTCAAGGCCATAGTGATGAAAGTATTTAGCTCCTTCACTATCAGTGTATTCCTCCAGGGTCTCAAAGAGCACCTGAATTTTAGTGCGAGAGCCGAGCTCCGCCTGAACAAGCTTCCTCCACTGATTGTATATATCTTTTATGGTGGTGTTTTCTCCAAGATTGAGCAGCTGCCGATGAGTTTCCTTAACAGGGAGATTGCCCTCAAAGCCTTCTTGAATAACTCTATCTCCATAGTTTGATCGCTTGCAGAAGTGTGGTAGGACATAATTGTTTATTGCAGGCTCATGGTTATGGATGGGGTTTCGAATATGGAGCTTCCAAATGAGGCCATCCCGGTGGAGGTTTGCCCGGTATTCACACTGTATCATTCGGGTAGCTTTGCCTTTCTCGCCCTTTAGCAGATATTTGCGGGAGTACGCGCAGCGGAGATGTACAATCTTGATGAGATCCTTGATGGCCTTGCCCTTATACTTCTTGAAGCCATCAATGGAGACCGCGTAACCTTGAGATTGCAGCTGCTTGTTGACCTCCTCTACTGCCTCTTTGTAGTCCTCCTTTTCAATCAATACACCGTCTGGTTTCTCATTGGCCTCATCAATTAGCGTGCTCGGAGATTCAGGGGGTATCCCTGGTGGTAGGGACAGGCTCGTATTCGCCATCTAATCGGGCACATTAGCTCTCTGATCTGCCAATGTGGAGATGGCGTGCTGCCACTACCCATACGGGACTAGGGCTAACTGCTAGACTTACTGTTACCCAATACAGAACCACAACGCAGTATCCAAATTTGGCACGGAAGGTAGCAAATAAAAGCGTGCAGTAAGGAGAGTAAATTTAAGCCTTAAAAAGGTAGTAATAATAGTGTTGCAGTTGTAGAGTGTAGTTGTGGAGATGGAATTTGGGTCTGGTGTTGCACCGCCAAAGGCACCCTTTTGGCTAGCACGAATTAAGCGAGGTCTAGTGCCTTGTGCAGTCGCAAATTTGGGCAATTCACTACGCCCGGATGGGCGATGCATGGGCATGAGGCTCTCTGCCGAAAAATCGGAGAGGGCGCACAGCCGGGAGAGAAAAACGTTTTCTGAGCCGAGGCTTTTGCTGCAAATGGTTAAGTGCAGCGAATATTCAGTCACGACTGCGTACATCTGAGTGGGGGGTCTTCGCCATGGAAGTTGGAGGGTCTCCGAAAAGTTCTTCCCTTTTATATAGATCTAGCTGCTCTTAAAAAATCTAAGAGAAATCTCTTATTGTTACGTAGATATCTAAGAAAGCGTATAGTTTTCTATGCCTTAACAGCAGGGTATTTTTTGCTAAGAACTAGCGCGAACCTAGCTACGCAACCTGCGCAGGTCGCAAGGGCAGGTGGCGAGGCAGGCCTGCTGCGCAGGAGGAAGGGGGTGCGCACCTGTAGATTTTCCTAAATATCTATGTAATAATAACGTATTTTCCTATAAAAACAAAGCTACTACTAGAAAACTATAGTAAGAAGGTACTCCTAAGTTTTCTTAAGAAAATACCTTGTTGTTGCGTAGATATCTAGGAAAACCTGCAAGTGCGCGCCCTGAAGTTCTCGAAAAATTCGCTGGCCACGTCCGTGGCCGGCCTGGCCTACTCACCCGCCGCACACAATATGCTGACAGGGATAGGCCATGCACGATGCCTTTAAGGATGGTCGGGAAGGGAGAACGAGACACAACACCGATCAATATCGAAACGACCGCCTGCTCCCACGTCCGACTGAACAACCACCTGTACTTCCAAGCCAAGTTAGAATACGCATTTCAAGAAATCCAATTGGCCATATTCTAGTTACGCCATACACGCACGGTCGTGTTCAATCGGACGTGAAAAGAGGCAGTATAATCGCAACAGCCTGCCAGAGTACGGGCTGGGGTTCAGGTTCGGGTTGGCGGATTTGGAATAGCATACATCCGGACCAGATATCATTCCGGGGCCCGTGCGAGGGGATCGACCTTTTAAGAAAGCGCAAAACATCATGCTTGATTTGGGTATCAACTCATAGAAACTACCTGCTCAATCGAAGACAATCTTCGTGCCCTGCGGCTTCGCCATAAGCTCCTTCTCCTTGGCCGCTTTGGCAGCCTGCCAGCTCGGGTGCAAAGGCCCCGTGTCATCACGCTTCGCAACTCTCCTGGGACCCAACTCCCTCAGGTTCTCCCCGCTGCGTTGAGGACCGCGACCAGTTCTCATGCTATCTTTTGCGCTGCCTCTTCCTTCTCGACCGCCTCTGCCTCGTCGGTCTTCACTGACAGCTCCCCGTTTCGGATCCCAGCCCTTGTTCCTCTCCTCTTTCTGCTTGTGTTTCGCTTTTTCCCCATATTTCTTCTCCCAAATCTTCTGTCGTGCCCGTTGTCCCCTCCTATTCTTCTTGGGCGCAATGTCAATGTCCAAATCGGACGCCTCGGATTCGGAGCCAGAGTAGTAGGCCGCATGGCTTAGCGAGGGAAGGAAGGTCGACGTAGACGGCTTTCCGGCTGCTTTCTTTGCTTTGGCCTTCGGAGCTGGTTTGGTATCATCGTATGAAACTCCAAGGGATTCCGAGTCCTCGTTCTCGTCACTGTTGGGGTAGCCATTACGAGGTATGGCTCCATCACTGTCGTCGTCATCATCCGAGGATCCGTCCTCGCTAGCGTATGTCTTGGCGCTGTTGCGTTGTGTAGACGCTTCATCGCCTGAAGACTCGTTCTCAGTGATATCGTCTAATTCCACATCTCCGGTTTCGCTCTCCGCGACGCTGGGTGGCCTCTGTCCATCGGATAGCGAATCGTCGCTATTATCCTCGCCGGACGATGGCGCCGCGATCCGCACGTCAAACTTCGCGAAGGCCTCGCCGTCGTCTTCGCTCGCGCCCTCCTCGTCCCCTTCGTCCTCCACCTTGACCTTCTTCCTCCTATCCTCCTTCTCTTCCTTGCCCTTGTCTCCGCCACTCTGCGCACCCCCGCCAACCTTCAGTATCTTCTTCAAACCCTCAATGCACTCGTCGATCACCTTCTTCACCGCCTGTATCTTATACAATCTCGCCGTAACATTCAAAAACAGCGGATCCTTCTGACCACCCTCCACCTCCTTTACGCTCTCAGGCAATCCCTCATGCTCCCTCAAGCTCTTCACCTTCAATATCGTCTTCCGCAAATGCTGCTCCGCGATCTTAGGAATCTCCAAACCCTTCAACACCGCATATTCAGCGTCCAGCCGCGCAACAGCTTTTTCATCCTTTTTCACGTTCGCGGTTTTCCGCCTGCGACTGTATTTCTGGCGTTCGAAGCCCGCGCCGAGCCGGAGGGCGGAGACGAGGGACTTTTGGGAGGTCGTGAGGAGCTGGGTGCAGAGCTTCTTCTGGCGGGAGACGGCGCGGTTGGAGGAGGATTCCTCGGCGGAGAGGGATGGCGAGGGAGAGGGACGCTTTCTTTTTGGCATTTTGGCGGTAAGGGAAACGTTGTGCGTGCGTGTTCACGGGAAGCGATCAATTATGCGAGATGCGCAAAAAGTTGGACGTTGGTTTCGGGCTTCCGTCTCGCTTAAACCTGCCGTCCAGAGATAACGTTGAACCGCAGCGTTGGACCCCTCAAGCCCACATTTGGGTCCGTGCGCTAAAAGTCACGTGCGTACTGTGTTTACATAGTATAAAAGAACTCTATCTGTCGTTATGGAATTGATACTGCTTAGAGTTATTGGGATGTACTTAGATACGAGTTCAGATTTCCTTTTCAAAGGGGCCGGACAGGCGCTCACACTCGAATATGGCGCGTGAGTACTGTGAGATTGCTTGGGGAACAGGGATCAGCAAAGGGACAGTAGGCTATGATGTTTGTTGCGTAAGCTTGTAGCTTCTAGTCCCGTTTAAATCGCCTTGTACTATCTCCTGGGGCCTCCATAGCTCAAACCAGCTGCCTCCACTCCTCTGCGCAAGCTGACTCTACTTGGATCGCCAGTCCTAGCCTCCGCCTATCCACGTCGGAATATCGTCGATTCGACCGTCGTTCATTAGCCCCGCTTCATAGAGCCATGAATCGAGCTGTCCATCCCTTCTTGATCTAGCTCCGTTATGATGTTGACCTATTTCCGACTTTGGGTGCGGGACGCGTTGTGGATCGTACGGTATATATCCGGTGCTCGTCATCCGACGAGTCTACGAGGGCTCGCGTTTCATTCTAGAATCCCATGGCCTGGATTGGGTACGTGATGTTGCTCTGACTGCGGATATCCTCGGTCTTCAGAGATGCCGACAGGGAGAGCTTTGGTGTGACAACAGAGGATGTACATAGGCGTAGAGATTTGGACATTACTGTAGACATGTCACATTATCCATGTGAAGATTCTACTCTGCTGCTGGTTGTGGTGGGTTCGGCGTATCTCTCTGTATAGCAGTCACGTGACCCTAGAGGGAGGTACTTCTGTGATACGATAGGGCAAAAACAGAATAAATATTCAGACGTGTTGAGACTCCGTAAGTTATAAGGAAAGGTTCGTGTTAGACTTCCGTAGGTTATATAGAAAGATCCTACATGTAAACAAACAGATAGTGACGTGCTATGTACGGTGCCAAGTAATTTACGGGAGTCACCACAGTTCTTCCATCCGTCGGCCCATATGAGCGTGCCGACGCCTCTCCAACTCGGCAGACTCGGTCTTCTGTACACTAGCGCAACCTACACCTATTCTCAAGTCCCTCTCAATACCCTCACACTGGGTTCAGCCTCCCAAGAAGCAATGTTCGCAAGCATGAGCTGTCCGGCATCCGTCAAGTTATCTCAGGTGTGATTGGGCCGGCAAGGAAACTCCCCAGCATTGCCCATGGCCTTTACGAAAGTATATATATTCAACGTTCCGGGCGCCACGGCATTGTACGAATGTCTACGGAGTGCAAGCCATCCTACTGGATTATTTCCTACCAGCACCGTCAGCACATAGGAGCAATACGACTGTTCAGTCTCGTGCTCCGACAACTGCTCCAGTGCTGTGTCCTTCATGCTGACATCTGCAGCCGCGGAAATCAGCCACCCCCGTATTCGAAAGCGGGCCATGCGAACTACCCCGCACGACGCTATGCCTGATGAAACCTATCCCATACCAACCTCGTATATCCCTCCATTCCTGCTTACTGCGGCGTAGTCGGGCATCCGGATGCGTTTCACGGTCCACGAGACCACGCCCCTCTGAGAGCCTCGAAAACTTGAATTTCGATGCGTGGTCCACCGAGCAGAGTCCTGATTTCTTTGCGAATAGAGGGAATCTGGGGTAGTCCCAGAAGCCTATAAGGGTGCAGATGGACAATTGCACGTCGATGCAGGTCATCTATGGCTCTTGGCGGAGGGAGCGGTGTTCGTTTCGGCGCGCTAGTCGGATTCCGGACCTTGCAACCGGAGAACACTTCCGTCCCTTCTCACAATCTCGTAAGGTTTCGTTGGCGAATCCTCCAAATGTCGCAAGGCACCAACTCGTTGAGAATGCGGCGTTGCGGCGTAGCAGTGTCCATGATTTCCAAAATGTTGAGTGGGAAATTTGACGGCAAGGACACGGCGTAAGACTGACACATCGCCTACCTAAACCCCATGTGCAATTCACAGGCTATTACCAAATCCGACGGAGATGTACCCTACATCTGGGGTATTATGCATATTACAGAGGTCCAGCTGCCACGCGCGCCCCAATATCCCAGCCATCTACCCGGCGTAGATCGCGAATAACGAACCGCGACGGCCTACCGACAGCAGCGGGCATCCAAGTACGAGCAGGACGCACTGACGGCCACCTGCACTGCCAAGGGGGTGTGTCTGGGTGCTGGATGCTGGCCGGTAACTGGTATGGATATTATGCTGACAGATGCCCATGTGCGCGCGCTTGCCAGAACCCTCCCTTTCCCTCCGGTCGGGCGAAGACTGACACCGTGCTTGCTGATCTCCCCTCGAGTTCCAACTTCGCTATTGTTTGTTCTGTGAAGGAAGACCAACGACGACTTTGTGAATGTGGACAGAATGGCACCCGCGCATGGCACGGCGACGACCGCCACCGCCGCTGAGCCCGTGCTGACACGGCTGGTGCAGCAGGATTTCATGCCATGGTATAGGAAGCCGAACCTGAGGACTCTGTATATGCTGCTGCTGCCGACATGTATTGGGATTGAGATGACATCGGGATTCGACTCGCAGATGATCAATACCGTGCAAATCTCCGACTCCTGGCAAGCTTGTGCGTACATCACTCCGTTTCACACTGTTGAGACTGACTCCTGGAGACTTCAATCACCCAACTGGAGCGCTCAAGGGTATCATCTCTGCGGCCTACAATCTAGGCGCGATATGTGCTCTCCCTTTTGTACCCATGTTGAATGACACGTTTGGTCGTCGATGGGCCATCTTTATAGGATCATGGATCATGGTGTTTGGCGCTTGTCTGCAAGCCTTCTCCAACGGAGGTAAGCCTTCGTATTGAGCTATCTGTCCGGAAGGACGTCTCTAACGGAATCTAGCTGCCATGTACGTCATCGCTCGGTTCTTCCTGGGCTTCGGTATCCCCTTTTGCATCATCGCCGGCTCCTCCTTGATGGGCGAACTTGCATACCCCAAGGAGCGTCCCATCATGACTTCGCTATTCAACGCTCTGTACTTCATTGGAGCCCTCGTTGCAGCCGGAATCTCCTTTGCTACGCAAAGTATCAACAATGATTGGGCATGGAGGACGCCATCACTACTCCAGGCTGGTCCCTCCATGTTCCAGATCATCTTCATATTGTACGCACCCTCTCCAAACTCCCTCGGGACTGCTTCTCACGTTATTTCAGTATGATCCCAGAGTCACCCCGTTTCCTAATCAGCAAAGACCGGTCCGATGAAGCCTTCCGCGTTATAGTAAAATATCATGCGGAGGGTAATCCTGACTCCGAGTTTGTCAAAGCCGAAATGGCGCAGATTGAAGGAACCATCCAACTTGAAATGGAGCATTCGAAACGTTCTTGGAGAGAGATGTTCAGTACCCCTGGAATGCGCAAGCGTGTGATTATCGGCTCGTTTCTAGGACTGTTCACGCAGTGGTCTGGGAACACCTTGATTTCGTGAGTCGAGAAATGGAAGCGCCGCCGATCGTCACTGACACATCCCCAGGTACTATCTCAACGACCTCCTCAAACTAATCGGCTACACGTCCTCCGAAATCAAAAACAAGCTCAACGTCGGCCTCAACAGCTGGGCTCTCGTCAACGCCGTCTGCATATCCCTCCTCGTCCGCCGCTTTCCCCGCCGCGTCATGTACTTAACCTGCACCATCTCCCTCCTATCCTGCTACGTCGGCTGGACCGTCAGCATGCAGCAATTTCTCGAGCATCAAGGCCCTGCCGCGGCCAAAATCACCATCTTCTTCATCTTCCTTTATAGCCCGTGCTATAATATTGGCTACAATGCACTCACGTACACGTACCTGGTGGAGCTCTTTCCATTCGCACAGCGAGCCAAGGGGATCACGATTTTCCAATTCTTCGGCAGAGGAGCGGCATTCTTCACGACTTTTGTGAACCCCATTGGCTTGGATAATATCAAGTGGAAGTGGCTGATTACATATTGCTGCTGGCTTGCTTTCGAGAATGTTTTCGTCTACTTCATGTTTCCCGAGACGTATGGAAGGACGTTGGAGGAGTTGGCGTTCTTGTTTGAGGATCGGAGTTTGGCGGAGCAGCAGGCGAGTAGGGTGGAGAAGCAGTTGCATTATGAATTGAGGGACAGAAATAGTATGGGCAGCCCGGAGTTCGAGGATGAAAACTTCAGTGTCAGGAGGAGAGAGAGGAGGGAGTTTGTGAGTAGCTGGGAGGCACCGAGGTATCCGGCTAGGACGGGCTATGGGGAGTCGAGATGGTGATGGAGAGGAGGGCGTAAGGGTTGAAGAGAGGCAGTGTGGTGGAGTAAGAACATAGTAATCATATTACGAGGCCATGACTTTAGGTAGTTCCCCTAACAAAATAATACCCAACAATCTGATTTCCGCTCAGTTGCCGCCTCGCTCACTACTCCACTCCTTCGTTCGGCTATCTCCAATCCCATAACAACCTCCAAAACGCACGCCATCCACCACAAAACACCCCAAAACCGCGCACCAAGCCCCAACTCAATCTACCCACAACCTTGGCCCAACCCCAACCCCTACCCTAGACCCCGCCCCTTCGGCTCCCCCAACACCCCGCTCAATCAACGTGCAACGCACAGGTCACACTTCCGCCAATGCCAGTCTACCGATCCCCGTCAAATGCCATACTACAAGTATATGCGCGGAAGCACGGCCCCGAAAGTGCGATTATTGTAAGCGCTCTACTATGCAGCAGGATTAATTGATTGATGGCTTGAGTGCAAGCGGACGGTGGCCAGGTTGCGTACATTACATAGATACGTATGTGCCGGATTGATAGATGGAGGGTGTGCAAGTGCCGGGTCCGGAAACCGGGCGGGAGGGTACGTACCGGGTTTCTGTGGAGTTTGCGAACAAGGCTGGTGGTGGAGGATGGGGGGAATGAGGCTGGTGCTTGGGAATAGGTGTGGAGGGGAAGTAGCTTGGGGTGCTGCACCGAACAGATGGGATTTTGGGACTGAGCGATTTACTGCGGGGGTTATTGTGCTTTGTTTGTAGTCTTGTTTTCCCTATTCTCTTATTTCCTTAATGAGAATAAGAATCCCTAAAATCGTTGCTCGCATGGTCTTTTAGGATTATTCGAACCATGTCACCTGGAATTACAATAAGCTTTCATTAGACTGCAGGGAGATGCAATCAGATGGGCGCAAAGTCCCTTCCACCGGCCAGACATCACTTCCTCAACATCCAGCTGCAATTTCTCTGTAGGTAGAATTACCTACCTAACACAAGCTAACTAGCTACAACTTAATAATGCTATAGGTAGAATATTCTTTCTAAATATAAACTACTATACGTAGAGGTAGAGGCGCGCTACAAAGCTAATTGCAGGACCTCCTAGATTGCTGCGCCTGCTAGCTGCTTAAATTAGATGTGGAAAACAGCAGTACAAAGGAAGTGCAGGGGGTTGTTCAGTCGGATGTGGACAGAGGCTGAAGGATGTCAATTTGAGTGGCGTCAGCATACATCTGTGGTCCCCAAGTCTCGTCCCATTCGCAAACACTCCCAAGGTCCCATGGATAACGGTCCCGGACTCTGTTTCAAAACATACAGTACACCCCGAACGGAGTGCCTTGCACGTGGGATCGTGTATGGCCAGTCGTTATCACATATGCGGATCGTCTATGCCCAAACAGGAAAGTGTTAACCAATTCTGCCAAGTTTCACAAGGGTCTGGGGATAAGTCCGGCTCCCTCAGTTCCTCCGTACACCCTGCGACTTATAAAAGGACCGCGGAGCCGCAACTTCAAGAGTTGTCCTGTGTGTGTTGATCCTTTCCTTTGGATTTGTGCGGAACCTGCGTTGAACGCAAAAGCTCAGCAACATGGGCCGCTCGATGCGCTCTCTCGCGCTCGCCGCGCTAACAGTCAATTCAGTTTACGCGGAAGATGTCTTGTATAGTCGGAGGTTGGCAAAGCGTGGTATTGATGCGCAGGGAAACTACAATATCTGTAAGTTACGTGTTGGATCGGGAAAATGCAATTCATTGACGGATACAGCGTTCTTCCATGTCAACGATGTCCATGCTCACCTCGATGAATTCAGCTCCTCTGGCACCGACTGTACCAAGCCAGAGCGCGGATGCTATGGCGGCTATGCGCGTATCAAGCATGTCATTGATACTCAGCGCCCTCAGGTTAACGACAGCTTGTGGCTGAACGTTGGCGATGAATTCCAAGGAACCTTGTTTTACTCCTTCTATGGCGGGGAGAAGATTGCGGAGACGATCAACCAGGTTGGATTCGATGCCATGACGCTCGGAAACCATGAGTTTGACGGCGGGGACGACAAGCTGGCTGAGTTTCTGCAAAATCTCACGTTCCCAATTGTGTCGGCGAACATCCATTCGGACAACGAGATCTTGAACAAGACTATAAAGCCATACCACATTTTCGAGGAGAAAGGCCTTGCACTTATTGGAGTCACCACCTCGACCACGCCCAGCATCAGCAACCCGGGTGATGGAACCAAATTCTCAGACGAGGTGGAGGCCGTTCAAGCAGCTATTGACGAGATCAAGGCCAAAACCAAGATCAAACGCATCGCTGCTATCACGCACATCGGTTATGAGAAGGATCAAGAGCTCGCCCGAGCAACGACGGGTCTCCAGCTCATCATGGGAGGCCACAGCCACACTCTGCTCGGGGATATGGAAAAGGCCGAGGGCAAGTATCCCACTATCGTCAAGAACAAGGATGGCGAGGAAGTCTTCATTGTCACTGCCTACCGTTGGGGTGAGTATGTGGGCTACATCGATGTGACGTACGACCCAGAAGGCAAGATCCTCGCCTACCACGGCGCCCCCATCCACCTCACCAACACCACGGCGCAAGACGAGGACCTTCAAAAGCAGATCAAGGCCTGGAGAGGCCCCTTCGAAAAATTCGCCGCAGAAGTACTGGGCCAGTCCAAGGTCACTCTCGACCAAACCACCTGCCAGAAAGAGGAATGCCTCCTGGGCGACTACATGGCGGACGCCATGCTCGAGTACCGCAAAGCCAACAATAAGAATGTCGACTTCGCCATCATCAACGCCGGCGGAATCCGCGCAACCATTGACGTAGGCGACATCACTCGCGGTGAGGTCCTCACTTCCTTCCCCTTCGGCAACGCCATCGTCGAGCTCAAGCTCAAAGGCGAGGAACTCTGGAAGGTCCTCGAGGGAATTGTGACTGGCGTGAACGTCAACAACGGCAAGCAGGTGACTTCGTTCCTCCAAGTCAGCAAAGGCATCAAGATCCAATATAACCCCGACAACGCGAATAACACCAAGCTTGTTTCCGTGAAGATCAATAACAAGGAGCTGGACAACAACACCGAATATACCATCGTCACTCTTGACTTCCTCGCTGGTGGTGGCGACAACTTCTTCACGCCAACCACGGACTTCATCAGCTTGGACACCCAGGACGAGGTTCTGGTGCAGTACATCAAGAAGACGAGCCCCGTGGATATCAAGCTGGAGGGCCGCATCGAGAAGGTCCAAGGTCAAAGGCAAGGGAACGGCGGAGGGAATGGTACGACCACTAGTGGAAGTGCCGTTCTACCTGGGGCTACGGGACCTGCCTCTCAACGCGTCCCTGGGGCGGTTGGTTCCTGCTTACTTGCTTTGGCGGCGGTTCTTTTCATGCTATAGTGCCATAGCGGATGGATATGTACATTAATGTGAGACAGAAGCAGAATAATATTTTCAGATTAACGCTGACTTCATCTCTCGATAGAGGGTTCTCGCTGTTTCATCAGCGCACAGTGCAAAGTGGTGAAAATCCACCAGTGTCGTGACAGTGAAAGGGACAGCCACGTGACCAAAAAGAAGGCAACACAGCACGAGCATTAACTCGTCATTCACAAAGTCGAGCGGCGTCCGTGTTGATTCTTTACCCTTCCATAACAAAACAAACCCCCCTCTAACTAAACCCAAACCTTTCAATCACAAACTTCCACTGACACAACATAACAGACCCGTTCCCCTTCACAACAAGCGCCCCTTCATCATCCTTGACCCCTATCGTTTAACAACCTTGTCATACTCATCCCCAACTATTCAATCCTCCTCCACTTTAACAAACCACAACCACATGCACACCCCAACCCCCAACCGGCGAGCTCCATCCAAAACCTCGCCCCCTCCCTCCCGCTACCCTTCCTTTATATCCCAACGCCACCAACCACCCATGGATCCACCACCCGACGAACCGGTTTCGAAGCTCAACTTCAACCTCGACAAGCTCAAGGCCCGTCTATCTCGCAAACCGTCTTCTGCCTCGTTGTCACCCTCGCAATCCTTCAACATGGCGCGTCGTACGCTAGCCGAGTCCTACGACTTCTGTGACGATGGCACCGAGGACCTGGATGCGGGGGATGTGAAGTACGAGAACCAGTTGTGTATGCCCCGTCCTGGATCCTCTATGAACATCGTCGGTACTCCGACCGGATTGCGTACGCCTTCGCAGCAGCAGCAGCCGGATATCTGGGAGAAAGCATCCATGTCCCAGGCCAATTCAAAACATGACATTCTGTCCAGTTCTCACCACAGTCTGGACGGTATCCATCGCAGTGTGCTCATCACGGACAAAGAAGACATCCATCGCTTCCTCCGTGAACTGCCTCTGCCCAGCAACTCCCGGTCCGCTGCCCGTCGCAATCAGGACCTCGACACCAGTTCCCAACGTACCGCCAAGCCTCTGGGCCGCAGCGTGGGCGGCATCAAAGACGAAGTCGACAAGTCCACGGCCTCGTACCAACCCGCCACCTCGAAGCCCGGCAGTGGTGGTGGTGGTGAGCTCCTAGGCCGTCTGCGCCGCCACCCGAACGACCAAGCCTCACTGTCCCCGTCAGTCCTGACCTCGTCTCTGACAGACATCTCTTCTCCCCGTCTACCTTCCCGCGCCTCATCGCGCGCATCGTTCGACTACGTGGGCAAGTGGCTCGACAGACTGGACAAGCGCACTAAGTCCAGGACGACGTCTCCGGTACCGTCGACGCCTACTCCCCCTCCCATGTCACCCGCACTCACAGCCAGAAGCATTAGCAACGTCGACGTACCCAAAGAGCTACGCCTGAGCTTGGGAACTCATGCCGGCCCCGAGGAAGCACTCTCAGGTGAGAAGGAGAAAGGTGGTGAAGTTGGATCCCCGGAGCAGGATGCCAAATCGGAGTCTTCATTGGATGTGTTGCTGCGCGCGGAGGCGAAGCGGCTGGGGGCGAATGCGCTTACGGAGAGGAATGTGGCTAGGTTGGAGCCGAGTTGGATGGGTGGGAGTGTGTTGTCGTGCGTGCCGAGGAATGATTGGGATAGCGTCGAACCTACGGTGGATGAGGAGGTGGAGATGGATGAGGCGAAGGGGGATGGGCTGAAGATGGATGGTTCGAAGATGGATGAAGCTCCGGAGATGGGAGAAAAGCCGAAGGTGGATGAACAGAAGCTGGATGCACCGAAGGTGGATGAACCGAAGATGAAGAGCAATGAGCCAAAGACGGATGAGGAACCGACCCTTAGTGATAAACAGAAGGCTCATGAGAACGACAACAACGAACCAAATCCGGACGGAAAGGGCAACTCACAGCTTCCCGCCCAGGTACCCAAACCCACCCCGATCCAAACCCTAACCCTCATGCACCCGACCACCGTCCTCGATCAACCTCCCCTCTCAAGTATCCGCGCCCGCCCAACCTGGAACCTCACCGGCATCGCTCTCATCGTCGTCCACGGAGCCCTCCTCACGGCCGCAGTTACCTACGTGTTCCGCAACTTCGGCGACGATGTCGTGTATGAGGTTGCGGACGGTTCGGTCACGTTGCAGGCGCCCGGTCTGGTGGTGGGTATGTGTGGGGTGCTTGTTTGCTTGCATGTGGGTTGGATGGGGGTGATGGGGGGGTTTGAGGATGGTTGGGTGGAGTAGGGGGTTGTGTGGTGGTGGTGAGGGATGTTGGGGGGTTTGTGGGTATCGTGGAGTGGATATGGATGAAGATGTGGGTATGGAGAGGGAGACATTTCCGGAGGTGTATTGGTTCGATTGGCGTATTTGGTATACCCTGAGATGCATACTATGGAACTGGGATGATTGGATGGGCAATGGTGTGTGAAGTACACATGAAAGCTAATTCTTATTCAGAATTCTGCATGGGATGATTTTGTCTGAGTACTATGTTCTGTGGTGCAACGGTGTTCAGGTCGAGTGCAGCGTTTTCAACAATCAGTCACGCCGTAACTGAACACCTGAATACTCTATCTACGGTGGGGGATTGCCCCAGCTCTTGACAGTACTACATAGAGATTTAGCAACTGCGGACCGTTGTAGCCGCGGCTCAGTTTTCGGAGTTAAGAGTGCGGTTCAGCAAGATTACCGAGGTGCTGTTAGCTACAGTCGTACAACCTTCCCTGTTTAGGCAAGGGGCGGAGTCTTTCTAGTAAAAGCGCGCCCTCCTTGTACAAAATAGTCCTCCTAAGAGCTTTTAGATACAGGATTTGGCTCGGAGCGCTCTTGCTACTGCAGCGCCTACTACTGCCTACTACTGCAGCGCGGTCCACTGTGCAACTAGTTACGGCAGCTACCGCCACGGATTGTACCACCTTGGACCTACGGCAGGGCTACTAGGCAGCTTTCGACGGCTTTGAGCCGTAATGCTTAGCGGGTGCTGGGGGGCATGCGGACTGTTGAAAACGCTGGTCGAGTGTCACATTAGAATCCGTCAACATCAACGGCGCATCTGATAAGTCCACTACGAGAGAAATCAAACTGTGAAGAAGTCATAGAACGTTCTAGACTCTTTGCACAATGCAAAGGTGCTGTCTAGTGCTGCTGTAGCAGATATGTTCCTGCCGTGAATCGGGGCGGGGCAATTGGTTTGGCGCTCATCTCCAAATCGTATGAGCATATACAGGGATGTCTTCAAGATTATACCACTAGAAGGGCAGTGACGGTCTTATAACCCCTCCTCTGGCTATCGTGGATGTTGCATGTGAGGCCAACCACGGCACCTTCCGGAACTAAGGACTGCTAAGGAGAACTGAAGGTGGTACGCATCCCCATGAGCGGCACAGTCAGCCATTAAAATATCTGGCCAAGTCTCTAACCCATCTTATGCCGATATCAACAACGTCCTCTACTGGCTCTCGCACAGCATATGACACGTGAGGGCGCCATTCACCGGGCCCTTCTCGGTACCCCGCTATTGGAGCGTCGCTGCCCAAGTGAGCTCGCGCAACCACATCCCAAACAAACTTAGACTCTTTCCACGAAGCCTCACAACTGCCACCGATGACGGCGCTGAAATTACACATACATAGGTCATGGCGCACTCCCACGTCAATTGCTCCCCGCCTTGCGTTTGCCCATCCGGCCCCTTCTTTACAAGGCTCACGCGCTGCTTCAAAACTCTACAACAACAATAACAACAACCATGCCGGCCCTCGGTGCAGAGCTTTACATACCCGCGGGGCAGCAGACACCGAAGCCCAGTATTATGCACCGACTCAGACGTGCCTTCAAGAAGAACGGAAGCAAAAAGGGTTCGTGTCCGCTGCCCAAAGACGGCGAGTCGTCAACTGGGTCTCAGTCAACCGCCGTCGGGCCCCCTCGCAGGTTAATGAACAGTCTCGACATGTTTCGGGGGGGCCTGGGTAAGGAGTCAGAGGAGCAAGTGGAAACGCTTGGATCAGGGGGCTTTCGACGATGTATGGCGGAGCTACCCGAACATCAATTTTCAGTCGGCGAATGGTTTAAGGCAACGTAATATACGGTCTGCATTTGGCTTCAATTGCGCAAGGTGGATTCATACGGGGCTCTAACTTTCCTTCACATGCTGCTGTTTCGAGATGGTCGTTTGGTTTATTGGTGATATTGGGCTTATGTGGATAACGGACAATATGTTAGTTAATTAATACATGCATATCCAAAGTCTAAAGAAGCATAAAGCCTAGGGTTTATTGCAGAAGTCGACAGTAGTTAGATATAGCACTATCCGCTATTGTATAGTGTTTAGAAAACTATGCTACACGGCACTCTTCGAATAATGTATAACAAGAGGCTGCTCTGCTGTATGCTCAGTAAGATAGTCGAGTAAAAGATGTATTTCCCAACTCCGTTTGAGGGTGACGACAGGGGCATTTTTACGGATGCAACTGTAGAGATCTTCAACCTTTGGGAAGATGACTGTGCAATGCATTCGCTTACGGGCACGATCTCTAGTGCTTTTATAACATTTTTATATCACCCGCCTTAACGTGCTGCGAATAATCACTTTGACTAACGGAGCTAGGTATCAGGGCCAGTTGCCTCGTTTGTTTGGCAATGCAGCACTCCTCCAAAAGCCACAAACGACACACTCTCTTCACACTACGCCTCCCTTCGAAAGGCGAGAACTTCTAGCAATTTCGCAGCGAGAATGGCCCCGTACATTCATATCCCAACATTGACGCATATAGATGACATGTGTTATCAAAGCCTGGGGGACTGTGCTTACTTATACGATTAGCAGAATGTAGAGGGAACGCCATTAACTGGGGAGAGTGCTTAAAGGAGAGGTCGACTGGCTGAACTGAAACTCATCATCTCATCTTGTGTACTTCGCACTTGTAACGATACACTGAAGATTCTTGTCAAAACATGTCGAATTCAAGCCATGCACCTAGATTTGACCAAAGACCTTGAATCCGCCCATATCCTGCCCCTTATCACTAACCATCAAATTCCACCCACAACTACTTCCCAACCCAGCATTACTCACCCAAGCCGGCTCCCAGTAGAACAATCCCGTCCCTTTCCCCTGCCCCGCCTGCTCAACCCTCTTCGCAACCTCCTTCATCCAGGTAATCTGCCCATCAACACTAAGCGGGATACTCTTAACATCACTCGGGAAAGCATAGCTAGGATTCGGACAATACGTCGGCCAATTCGTCTCCACAACCTGCACCTCTTTCCCATACTTCCTCACCATGTTCTGCAGACTGGATCCCAGGGCCGACAGCGTAGCACCAGAGTTGTAGAAGGGGTAGTACGACACGCCCTGGATGTCGTAATCGGCCGCACTTAGTCCGCCGCCGGAACCTAGGACCGTGTCGTACCACCATTGCTGCGTGTCCCACTTCCAGCCATTGTCGAGATGGATCATGATCTTTGGAGTTGGCTTCAGATTACTCTCCTTGATAGCTTTGCTGGCGGATTTCAGCAACAGGGCAACGTTCCGCGGTCCGTCGGAGCGGCTCAATTGCCCAGTCGGGAAAAGCAACCCAGGCGTGATTTCATTACCAATGCTAACGATAGCCAGGGGAATCTGCTCGCGCGCAAAAGCGTTCATGACATCCTTGGTATACGTATAAACTTGCTGCACCAAAGCATCGCGACCAAGGTTCTTCCACGCAGCGGGGACAACTTGTTTCCCCGGATCCGCCCAGTTATCGCTGTAATGGAAATCAAGATAAATCTGTAGTCCGGCCGCCTTCGCGCGCTTGGCCAACCTGATGTTGTAATCGAGATTGTAGTTGCCGTCGGGTGGGTTCACCCAGATGCGTTGGCGGACCGTGTTGACGCCCGCGTTTTTGAGAATGGTTTCGAGTGGTTGCACTTGGCCGGAGGCGGATTTGTAGGTTCTTCCGGCTTTTTCTTCGTGCAGGAGGGAGCTCCAGTCGACGCCTTTGTAGGGGAGGGCGGCGAATGCGGGGAGGCTGAAGAGGAGTGGGATGAGGCTGGAGAGCCGCATTGTGGCAGTGGAGATGATGGATGATGGTAAAGCGTGGCTGGATTTGTTCTCACTTCGCTCTTATACAGAGTGTAGTCTTGCCATAATATTAATATGCGTTGAACTGCCAGATTCAAATCGGGAGACGGCGCAAGACTAGGGAATAATTGCTCCAATCAGAGGAGGATAGCCCCCTTATAGCGCCCGACATTTCCTGGGGTAGATTAATCTAGCAGAGAGTGTATGCCGGCCGGTTGGGGGGATTTAAAAAATGTGGATCCTGGGGCCGGCGTATATTAAATTGCGGAGCGACATCCCGGTAGATTTTTCTGTGCGCCACAGGCGACTGCCGACCTACGTGGGATATATAAAACACTGTGTTGGTACGGAAGTGAAGGGTTTAAAGGGGATGTCTGGCTTGCGATGCGGAAGTCGGGGGACGCGGTGGTCAAGAGGCGGGCTATTGTAAGTGATCAACGTCAACGGTATTCGAAATGTGAAAAGCTGCGGTATACTGGTACACCCACTAGCCTTTGAGTCCCCAACAGGAAAAAGACTGCCTGCACCTTTACAAGCTCACGGCGTTGTGTGTCTTCGATCGTTTGTAGTGATTGATTCGAGGGATTCGCAAGAGAGAATTTCTGCAGCGCGTAATGGGGCACACTGAAGCGACCAGTGTCTCCAAACGGAAAAAGAAGAAAGAAAGGGTTGAGGAAGCCAACTTATCCGAATAAGGTCCCCAGGTCAATATGTCGGTCAGATGCCTATCTCGAATGCACATCACATACACCAACTGTCAACAGCCCAAAGGAAGTCCAAGTCGTCGCGGTATCTAGCGCTTCGTTCCAAGGGGAAGGGATCCAAGGTATAAATCTCGACATCGTCTAAGATATGTGTGAGGCAGCTTCAAGCCAACTACACAGCAGTTGTGTGTGCTTCAGCAAACTATCATGCTCACATTGTCCCGCCTTGCAGGCGGGTGGTGAGAGGGGAGGATCACGGAGATGGTTTCGTCTGAAGTCAGCTCAGATTGTACGGAAATCGATTATCTACGTCATTGTTTACTTCTTCACTCTCGCCGCCTCGAGCGCTCTTTCCCTCTCCACCAAACCCAACCTCAACCACAACCTGAGTTCTCTGCCATGTTCTCACGCCGTGCGGAACGACCCCGCCCCCAGAATGCCACCGTCGACATGTACGAGAGGTCCAAGTCAGCATCATCGTCCTCATCTACGGCATCGTCCTGGCAACACTTCGGTCACCAAGATGTTCCGCAGACGCCAAACAAAGAGGTGGAATTCATGCCGAAGCCGCCAGGAGGGGCATTGTTAATCTCACCATTTGGGTATAAGAACGGGCTACGCGATGCAAGTTCCGATATTGAGTCATTTACGCCATCCTCAGAAGGTGAGAGCCTGAACGCGGCGGGCGTCTGGGGAGAGTTGGCTGATATAAACGTAGGATCTTTTGAAGATGAGAGGGGCCAAGAGCGCCCTGACGCCCTCGCCGTCGAAGAAGAGCGAGAGCGTTTTGCAAAGCCAGCCTCTGAATCCAGCGATAGTGCAGAGTCGGAAATCGAAAACAATGACAGGGCACACCGTGGTCATAACATCCTTCGAGAATGCGTTATTGCGTCCTGTCAGGCTCTGATAATGGGTGAGTCTATTCCATCTTTATCATCTCCTACATAGACTGGCATGCTAATTGATGTGCAGCCGGTTGCTTCAAAACCCTCACTGTCGCGCCAACGAGTGCACCAACCCTTCAATCCCTCGCTGCCAACGTCGTCGGTTATCTCGCCGCTGTCACCGTTACGAGTGGTTTGTTAGGAGCAGAGAATATTGCAGAAGGAGGTGGTGATCTTCATACCGCAGCGAGTCGTGTGGGGAAATTGCTGGCTCTGCCATTGACTTCATCTCTGTACCAGATGGGACGGCTTGTGGGATTTTTGGGAAGGAATTTTGTTGAGGGCGTCAAGGATGGGTATTTGACATAAGGGAACAGGTGAATGAACGTAACGTGTCTGCAATGTCGCCAGAGAGGAGGGTCGGTGTGGGAATTATGGCTTCAATGCAGTACAGTGCGATCTGTATCGCGAGTTTCGAAGGCCAACACCAGGTGAATTAGACAGCTAGACCGACCCAAGGGAGGGAGTGCTATATACCAGAGTTCTCGATGCTGAAACGAATGGTATGTCTTTTGATTGAGCAAATCTAAATCCACATCACAGATGTGCGGCAGGGACGGCTGACCAGGCCAACTGAACAGGCGCATGTATCGTGGCTGCTGCTGCTGCTGCTGCTTCATCCACCGCCACTTCCTCCATCCTACTACACTGTCGCTCTCCCTACAAGCCGAACTCATTACCTCTCATAAACTCGGATGCTCACTCATCGAACACATAACCAGCGGTCGCCCTCGTCAACTAATCTCCCACTCTCGCCAGACTCACATTCGTACCATCCGCGTATCGTATCATCAGTCGCTTTCGTACACATTACTTTGATGCCCAACTGGGGCCGTAATTCGACCTGGCGCCAGTCCCAATGATTACGTAGGACCTCGAGGGGACTGACATGCTCATCGTTGGTGCCATTCTTCTGACTATCTGCGGGTTTGTCCTACTCGTGTAGGTTGATTGCTGTGCCAAGCGCACAATTAATTGGGTAACGCTCTCAGATTCGGAAGAAAGCTTCATATTGTTCGTCGTTGGAGAGGGTTGGATAATATTTGATGTACAGGCGCCTATCCCGTTTGCGTACGTTGTTGAGTCACTTGGGGTTCTCTCTGCTTTGAGCTAACTGTTTGCTAGGTCTATCCAACATTATCCCGACTTCGATTTATAGCTTCGTTCGTGTCCTATTACGTCGACGACCGGCCCCGCGGTGCAGTGATAACACGCTTGTGCGAATAACAGACACTTCTCATTCCTCCACGATCATCGTGATCGCTCACTCCATCCATACTCTGCAATCTGGTTTCGACGTCGGACTCACACGACATAAACTCGCCGAATACAACCTTCAATGAACATTTTGCCGGACACCCTCCTCTGGCTGACTGTCATACTACCATTCCTCATCACTATCCACCTGTGGGGCTTGTCGACTTGCTCCATTCTCTTCGCTACAGCTTGCAGTTCTGCCATCATCGCGCTGCTCTTCATGATATACAACCCCTCTTTGGGCATCACGCGAGAGTTAGCCTGCCACAAAGCACTCACCGACGATCTCGAAGCACAACTCCAGCACACATTGCACCAATTGGAAAAGCACCAAAACTGGGAAGGAGGAAGAGAGTACCTTGAAAGAGGTAAACGCATTTAGCCCGAGACTGCCGTCTAACCTATCACTCAACGTCACCCACCCGTTGTGCGGGTACCCATTTCGAGACGGAGCCTCCTCCGAATAACTCACGCATTAAAGAATGGATTTCGGACACCTTGGCTTGTTCCTAGGCTCACTCGCCTTTGTGATGGCCGGTGCCGCCGGCATGTTCGTAATATTCCTGATACTGTGTCACGCCCAGTACAGAATAGCTCGGTTCTTCAAGGGGCCTGCTCACACGTCTGAGTCTGAGTCCAGCGACTCAGAGGACTCCTTCGACTTCGTCTCCGACGACGATGATTTTACGAATGCAGCGATTGAGTTGAGGGTGGTAAGCCCGACTCCAGAGAGCGAGCGTGGATGAAGTGGGTTTGGCGTTGTGGGTGAGGCATAGGAACGTTGTGTCAGATTTGGAGGGGGGGTGTGGACGTGTTGGTGGGTACTTCCTGGGGTTTTCATTTTTCTGCGTGTCGATTGGTTAAGCTAGCAGTCTATTGATGTGTTTCTTTTGTCAGTGGGCTGCTGTTCCTTCGGTGTTTCTGAGCTTGGGACGTTTAATATTGACATGGAGGTAATACTGCCTTGGTTGTCAAACATCTCAATTGTTGGAACATACTTCGTCGTGCGTACGAAACTTTGGAGGTCTTGCGTTTTGGAATACATACTCCTGTGGTATGACAGAGTTATCTGACTGGGATCGAAGAAGCTGTTTTAGTTCTGGTTCAGTTCCCGCTATTTCTATGCTAAGCCGTCAAGACATGTGTATTCGAGAAGATCACGTGTTGAGCTTAAGGGTGGAATTTTCTCAAGCTAGTAGAGCGCTACTTGAATACATGTTTCACCGAATCGAGAGTTGTATGAAGCTGTGATATAATGCTGATGTGTTACCAATAATATTGTAGATAAGGAGAAGGCCCCAGTGTTTGCTGTCTGTGAAGTAAAACCCACTGAGAGGAAAGATACCCTTGCTACATACAATTTGACGTCGTTGATTTTTGGAGGGTGTCGCCGTTGAAGGTACAGGTGATTTCTCCGAAGGTGAACAGAAAGAATCCATTTTAAGCCAGGGTCTTTTTGGTCTGAACAGTAAAGCTCAGTACGGCAGAAGAAAGAAACTTCGGCGGTGGGAGTGGATATTTGGAGGTGATATCGAGCAGAGGCTTCAGCCCGTAAAGACGGATTTTCGAGGGGAAATGACGTGCCGATGGTGGTCTACGTTGCTGGTGGTAGCGATAAGTTTCGAGGTCCCACGTCGTCCGTTTTCTGACTCAACTGAGGTGCCGTACATCATGCAGTCAGCCAGATATCTCGAACGGCAGAGCATCATTTCCGTCACTCAGTCGCAAAGGAATCCAGCGCATCATGGAATTGGGCATCCTCTCCCTCCTCTCCCTCCTCTTCTTCCTCGTGGCCTTTCTCTTCTTCTTCGTCGCTCGATGCCTGCTGCTCATCTATATCGCTGGCTATCAATGTGGACTCCTCGTCGGATTCGTCGTCCCTGTCATCAAGACATTCGGTTATCCTTCCTTGAGTGTTTTGAGCGAATCTGTCGAGGAACTTCTGAAACTCGACCCTAGCCAGATCGCGTTCTTCGTCGGTCTCTCCGTCTGGATATACATGTCGCCCAGTCTCGAAAATGTGCCAGTAGTCATCTATGTCGTCCTGTGTGATGGATACATGATCCATTCGCTCGTTCTGGAGCAGTCTGATAACTTCCGCACTACCAGCCCTAGCCAACCGCGCTAGTAGACGGTCCGGATCTATATGTGGCCTATGGAGTTTTGCGCCGTGTTGTATCAAATACTCGAGGATGTCGGGATAATTTTTGGCTATAGCCACGTCAGCAGCATTGTGACCCTGCTGGTTTTCCGCATTAATATCAGCTCCAGCTTCGACCAATCGTCGACAAATTGCGAATGCCCCCAACTCGCACGCATCAAGCAGGCTTGTGTTTTGGCAGAGGGGGTTCCGAGCGTGAATATTTGCTCCATTTGATAGCAGAAGAGTCATCATCTTCTCTATGACGGAGATCGTGTTACGGCTCTGTTTCCCTCTAACGGGTATTGCTAACATCAAGGGAAACTCCCCGAGATAGGAAAACGCATTTGGGTCAGCACCAGCATCCAGGAGAAGCTCGGCAGCATCCAGATTTAGCGCAGCAACAGCCCAGTGGAGGGGCGTCATTCCAAAACAATCCACGGCATGGAGTGTCGAAGGATCAAGCTCAATCAAGGTCCCTAGATCTCCTGGATGTAAACCCATGACAACTTTGTGAAGCGCACTAAGACCTAACGTGTCGATGAAATCCTCTAGTTGCAAACATTCAGGGATTTGCACACCGATGCCTCTGTAAGTAACCTTGAGAACTGAATAATACCAGAACATCTGGCCGATGTTGCTTGGTACGTATGGTCAGTGCGCGTTATCCATCCTTTAGAACGAATAGAAGCAGTGAACTTACATGGTAGCTGGAGCGAAATCTTTACCCACTGGAATGTAGGGATCTGCGTCTTCCCCGATAAGTGTAATGAACGACTCGATAGTGCAATAATCCATAAGATACTATAGGATAAAGGTTAGCCTCTCGGGTATATTTAGGAAGCAGCCGCGAACAGGATCACCCGCCTCAAGTATTGTCATCCCTTCCAGCGTGAGGTCCAGTGGATTCAGTTTCCGGTGGTACATCAACTGCTTTAGGCCATCAAGATCATCCTTGCGCGTAAGACGCCTGAGTTGGGTAATAGTCTCCTCATCGGTAATCCACTTTGGGACACTCAAGGTCCACAGAGCTCCGGCTGATCTTAAACTCGACCAAGCGCATGCAAGATCCAACCCAGCGGGAACGACCCATGGGGGGAACATATATCGAAAACGTAGGGATCCAGTGCCCTGTTTACCCGCAACGCAACGGTAATAGTCGCAAGGACGCCATTTTGACCCTTGAGTGCCTGTTAAGCTGACAAAGAGATTTCCCACGAGACCATGTAGCCATCGAGGTGTGCTAGCTTGTAGAGGAATATGACATCGACATGGACAACCTTTTGGACATCTGCTCGTATAGCGTTTCCTCTCCATCAAAAGGCGTGTCAGAGCGTTCTCACCATTGGACGCGCAAATATTCTTCAAGTCCTCAATTTTGGTAGTTGCGACGGCGACGTGTGGGATAAGGCTGAGAGAAGCGTTCTGAGAAGTATCCACAGATCGGACAAGGGCCATGCTTTTCTCTGGCTGCATATACAGAATACTCTGAATATTGAGTGTAGTGAGGCTGGGTTCGGGTCAGTATGGTTAGTGGCATTTGGCGCGTACGTACAGAGCTGCACTTTGCAGGGCCAAACCAAGATCAATCTTGATCTCCCGCAGCGTGAGCCGCAATGCCTCCACTTTTTGCTCGTTCTCTCTGCGCAGCTCACTGTAAAGAGCATTGATGCGAGATCTGGCACCGCGAGCTTTGGTATGAAACTTTTCGAGAAAGCGCTGGGATTTGAGGAGATGTTCGTTAGCATCTGTCAGGACTCTGAGTATGCTGGATCTAGCAGAAGCGTCCAGCAGGTGGCTCTTATTTTCTAGAGTTTCCTTGATGTTATCCAATTGTGTGTGAAAGTCTGAGATCTAAGCTTGCTGTTAGTGAGGTTGCTCCAGCTATACACTCGATGGGGAGTCATCATCCGTACATAATCCCCTGCATCCCTGAGATACGGGGGAGTTTCGCCTAAACGCCGAATAGCTTCAATGAGATTTATGGCGACCTTTGCAACTCCCATAAGCGTAACTAGGCTTGCAACGAACGAGACGGGCTCCATGTGGATTGCAGTGCATCAGCTCGAATCGGGTTGGAACAGGACTCTTTAGAAGAGCTTGATCCAGGGCTATCGTGTGGAGATGAACTCCGACAACTAAGGACCAGCCGGAGTAGTATGAGGAAGAACTGGAAAAAGGAGAGCGTCCACGTTTTGTGGTTTCGCCCAAGAATGAAACACAGAGGAGAGGCCATTTATTAGACTGTTATGATCAGTGGGATTTGTGGTGGGGAAGGCGCCTAGCTCATTGCCTTGTGTTCACCACTGTTCCAATGACTGACAGTGCAGTGGTGCCACGGCCGTTGTTGAGCCTATTGACTGATTCCGAATGAGGCAATCCATTGCAACGCAATTTGAGGCGCATGATGCTGCAAGCACCCGTTGGGTGCCACCCTGATGAGGCATTGTTGGCATTGCGGTTGGAAAAAGAGTAGATGTGATATAGATTCGAGGCAAGATGTAGTACGGGCAGGAATCCAAGGAGCGATGATGACGAAGACATCTTGAGCTGGAGTAAAGAAGAAAGCTCGTCAGCGACCTGACTGTACCTGGACACCTTTTGATGCACGCTCCTGTACTGCAGCTTCTCGCGTCCGACTGAACACCCCCCTGCACTTCCTCTGTACTGCTGTTTTCCACATCCAATTTACAAAGCTAGCAGGCGCAGCAAATAGGTGGTCTTGCAATTAGCTCTGTAGCGCGCCTCTATGTATAGTATGTTTGGAAACAAATTTCTACCTGTCGCATTATGAACTCGTAGCTAGTTAACTTGTGCTAGGTAGGTAATTCCACCTACAGAGGAATTGCAGCCGGATGTTCAGTCGGACGTGGAAAGCCGCAGTATGTTGAGTCGCGATCAAGGGATACAGTGGTGGTGCGCACAGCCACGATCAAGGCCAAGCCACTAATCGCTTAGGGCCTAGCCTAAGGTACGCGCCACAAAACGGTCCCACAGGTTTGCGCTAGCGTTGATAGATCTCTCGGCACTACGGATCATTCAATGTTGTAGCGGCACTGCAAGGGAAGACAGACCAAAGAACAAGGAATGCCATCGATACTTCGACTTCTACCTCCATAATACTGTCTACTATTTCCACTCCAAGAGAACCGCCTTTTGAAATGTCATCAATTTGTCAGCTTGAGAAGCTACCGCTCACGTGAGCGACGCGATGGCGTGCTCGACGCTAGTGCACTTTTGCATTTTGCCTCGAGCAAAAGCACGCAATCAACGGGCAAAAGCGCCAGGAACGCGCCAATCATGGCGACAATGCAATTCACCACCTCGATTTCTATTTCGCCGACATCGCTGCCGACAATATACACCCCTCCTCCTCCTCCTCCGCCTCCGCCATAAACACTCCTCCCACTCCTTCGCCTCTCCCAACCCCTAGAGTCTCGTTTCTGAGCACACAGCTGCTGTGCTAGATCGACTCAGCGAAGAAGATGCACGACCAGCAGGCTGAGTCCGCTGGACCGGGCGCGGAACTGAAGAATACCCCCAAAACCTTCACCGAGGAGTCTTCCAGTCTACCGTTTGGACAGCATCTTCCCTTCCAGTCAATCAGCGGCCCGACCTACCTCACGGCACAGACACTGGTTCAGCAAGTCGCCTACACCCTTTCTGATAAGCTCTTCTCGTACTCCGCCGAATCGTTTGACCTCGACCTTGCGGCGAAGCAGTGGCAAGCGCAGGGAGAGAAAAATGCCTTTGGATATGAGACGGGCGTATCGTCTTTGCAGACCCGGACCGGTGCGGGCTCCATTGCTCTGGGATACATGTTCTCCAAGGACTTCGATCTGAAGAAGCGGCACATCCCTCAGTCCATTCTTGCTTCTTCCGCCACGCTCCACTATCTGCGACCCGTCCTCGACCAGATTTCCTTGTTATACTCGGTCGCCAACCCCCTCACCCTTCACATCGCAGCCGTGGATTACGCTCCCAATTCTCCTGCCGGATTGGTCACCGACTATGTCTCTTCGCTGGCTCTCGCTGAGGATCTTGGTCTGGGTCTTGTGTGCAGCGCATCCGTATTCGAAGTCCAGCATATGGCTCTGTTTGCTACGCTTCTCTCCAGCGTTCTGCCCACGATCCACACCTACGACGGCATCACGGTGGGAAGAGAGACTGCTCGGGTGGTGGATGCATTGGACAGGACGAGGCTGCACAACATCTACCAGGATGTCCTCAAGGCCGGCTCTGAAATCGAAAAGAAGCACTCCGACAATGCCGGCCGCACCGTTCGCTTGCTGAAGGCATTCAACGACGAGTTGGGAGAGGACTACCAGCTGTTCGACTACTACGGACACGAGCAGCCGGAGAGCGTGCTGGTCGTTTTTGGCACTGTGGAGGCTTCGTTGGCTACCCAGGTTGCCAATGCGATCAGCAAGGAAGGCGACAAGGTCGGCGTCATCAATGTGCGCGTCTACAGGCCGTTCGTCGAGGAAGCCTTCCTTGAGGTGCTGCCGAGGACTACTCAGTCGATCGCGGTCCTAGGCCAGGTAAAGGACGAGGCTGCCGTTTTTGACCCCTCCGAGTATTCTCTCCTCTATTCCGATGTCTTGGCCGCTGTTCAGTTTGAGTTGGACGGCAAGGTCGAAGTCACGGACATCAAGTATGCGCGTGACCAGGTTTGGACCCCCAGCAACATCCTGGATGTCTTCCGACAAATCTATGGCGAGAAGCCCCAGGCGGAGGAGGTCCGTTCCTACGTTGATATTCTGGACACGACCGATGTCCGCCAATACTCCTTCTGGGATGTGGATGACTCTCCTTCGGCCAATGCCCCACTTGTACTTGGAAAGCTCCTGTCATCCGATTCCTCCAAGAATGTCTTCGTCCGCTCCGGTCACGACAACCTGGTGCGCGGCGGCGTTGTCCGTACCGACATCCGTAACGCCGATTACACAATAGAGGCTCCTTTCTCCATCGAGCAGGCCGATGTTACCTTCGTTGGAGACGAGGCTCTCTTCAAGGAGTTTGACGTCCTGAGCAACGTCAAGGGCGACAGTTCCTTGATCGTAAAACTCCCTGGTGTGAAAGATGAGGACATCGAGAAGAAGTTTTCGCCGGTTCTGAGGAAGTCAATTGTCGAGAAGGATGTTGAGCTCTTCGTGCTAGATCCTTCCTTGTCCGAGAGCGTCACCAAGGATCCAAGCTTGGAGACATATCTCACCCAACTTGCTTTCCTGAAGGTAACCAGAGAAGATCTCCTGACGTCTGGCCTCGCTAAGCTCGCGACCATTAATGGTAGCTCTGGTGTCTTTGAGAAGTTGGTCAAGGAGCTTGAGAGTGCTCTCCGCGAGGTTGAAGTGCCCGTCTCTTGGGGCACGGTGGAGGAAGACGTTGAGTTTTCCCAGCTTCCCGCCGACATCCATGTCAACAGTTTTGCTGCTTTCGACCGTAACGAATCGGAACCCCCCACGCTTCTCAAATCCTGGCAGATAGCGGCGAAGGGTTTGGCGTTCAAGGAGGCCTACGGCACTGAGACCGCCTTGCGACCCGATCTCGGCGTTAAGACATTCACTGCGCGTGTCAAAGAGCGCCGCCGCCTTACTCCGCTCACTTATGACCGCAACATCTTCCACATTGAGTTCGATCTTGGCGATACTGGTCTCAAGTATGCCATTGGCGAAGCCCTCGGTATTCATGCTGAGAATGATAAGACCGAGGTCGAGCAGTTTATCAAGTGGTACGGTCTCAACCCCGAGGAGATTGTGGAGGTTCCATCTCGCGAAGACCCCAATGTGCTTGTCAACCGCACCGTCTACCAGTCCCTGCTCCAGAATGTGGACATCTTCGGTCGCCCGCCTAAGCGCTTCTACGAGGCGCTCGCTGAGTTCGCTTCGGACGAGAAGGAGAAGAAGGAGCTCCTCACTCTTGCTGGGCCCGAGGGCGCTGCAGAGTTCAAGCGACGTGCGGAGGTGGACACCGTCACGTATGCCGACATCCTGCTTGAGTTCTCTTCGGCTCACCCCTCGTTCCACGACATCGTTCGTATTGTCAACCCCATGAAGCGTCGCGAGTACTCCATCGCTTCGTCGCAACATGTTACGCCTAACTCGGTCTCCCTGCTCATTGTCACTGTCAACTGGGTGGACCCCAAGGGTCGTGACCGCTTCGGACAAGCTACGCGCTACCTCAACAGCCTCAGCGTTGGCTCTCCTGTGACTGTTTCGGTCAAGCCTTCCGTCATGAAGCTTCCTCCCAAGACGACGGCTCCCATCATCATGGCTGGTCTCGGTACCGGTCTCGCGCCGTTCCGTGCTTTCGTGCAGGAACGCGCCTACCAGAAGCAGCAGGGTCACGAAATCGGCGAGGTGCTGCTGTACATGGGCTCACGCCATCAGCGAGAAGAATACCTCTATGGCGAAGAATGGGAAGCCTACCAAGACGCCGGTATCATTACCCTCCTCGGCCGCGCTTTCTCGCGTGACCAGCCTCAGAAGATTTACATTCAGGACCGCATGCGGCAGACGCTGAACGAGATCCGCAAGGCCTACCTGAAGGACGAGGGAAGCTTCTACTTGTGTGGTCCTACCTGGCCGGTACCAGATGTCACCGAGGTGTTAGAGGAGGCCATCAAGACTGAGCACGAGGCGAAGCATGGCAAGGGCGGGAAGAAGGTGGATTCCAGGAGGGAGATTGAGACTCTGAAGGAGGCGCAGAGATATGTCCTCGAGGTTTATTAATTTAGCGACGAGTGTGGTGCATTGGATTTAGTGATGAGTCTCTTTAGCGATGAATTAGCTGGGATGGTTTTTGTGGGATCTCTGCCCGCATATAGACTTCATTTCTCTTCAAATATATTGGATACGCCGAATGCTCGTGAGTGGACCTGTTCAGCAATAGACGTGTGCGATATTGGTGTGCATCGGTCGGGTCCCTTGATGGGGATGGCGCTAAGCCCAAAGTAGTCGGTTTGGCTCCTACTTCCTTTCCCTTCCCGAATGACGTCATGATATTCGCGCGAGAGTGACGATTCCACGGCTCGATTGGAACTCGCAAGGTACTTATCCAGCCTTTTCCCCGCCGTAAAACATTCTCCATCGTCTTATTTCTCCTCCATCATCTTCGATACCGCTTTTCCAAACTTGAATTGCGCTCGGTCTGGAACATACACTCACAGGGTTCCACTCTTTTCACGTCTACACACGACACTCAACTCGCCACGTTTGCAATCGAATCAAAATAGTTCAGCTCTACTCGGTTCAATCTCAAACCTCCATCCACCATGTTCCGCACCTCAATAACACACCACATCACCCGTCCGCGCGCCTCCCTCCGTCCCGTCCGACCCCTAACAACCACACCCACCCTCCGCGCACGCAAAGGCGCCGAAGACAAGGATTCACTCCAACCCCGGCGCTCCGAATACAGCATGACCGGCACCGACGATGCCGCGGCGGACAACCCGGACGCAGCATTCAACCCAAACAAGACGAGGCCGGAGGAGGAGGTAGCGACGGCTGGGAAGAATAAGAAGGATAATCCGCATGGGGGTAATCCGTTGGATGTGAGTCCGGGAAATGAGGAGGTTAGTAGACCTGAGCCGGAGGAAGGGAGGGAGAGTAAGGGGGTGGAGAGGGGGCCGAGTACTGGTGGGAGTGCGCCGAAGGCGGGAGGTGGGTGGACTGGGTAGTTGGAAGGGGAGTATATGGCTGAGAGATTGTAAAGAGATTTGGAGGTGGGGGATCATGGGGCTGAGCTGGTATGGATTCGTTAAGGCATTTGAACGACGAGACGATTGCAGAGCAGCGGAGCGGTGGTTCCTCATTGCATGAATGGCATCTGTGTATAGCAATTCTCGGAGACAATCAATGATGCATGCTTTGAAACCCATGGCGCTAGCTCTTATTTCTTACCTACTATGGATTTTATTGTCCGAAGCATAGCCACAGCAACTCTTAAGGCTCAAATAGTCAATTAGTTCCGCGAGAGGGATAGTCTGTGGCATCTTCCCGTTGAAACAATGATGATGGGAAATGGAGCTAACCCCATTGAGTACGGAGCTTCTCACTGATGATTGGTCGAGCTCACTATAACCACCGCTCGCTCCCATCACAACTCCCCTCTATGCCTGAAAACCGAATTTCTCTTCTCTATCCATCTGGATTTGCGGAGTAAGGTAGTATCCGGGTCTAGTTCAGACCGTGACAGTGAAGAAAAGGTCACCTCGGCCGCCGCCGACATAGATGGCAGGGGTGCTTCGAGCTAAAAGCAATGACGCACCTGTTCACAAAACCTCCGCAACTTCTGCCGCGCGCCATAACGTCTATATCATAGTCCAATTGCGAAACTAATATCTGCCCTGTACTGATCTCAAAAAACCTCCAACGCAGCGTCTCCAGCACAATGACCACCGCGGTCCTCGCCGGCAGCACCGGCCTCGTCGTACGTCCTCACCTCCCTCCCCCCCCTTCTCAACTATTCCCCAACTAACCAACTCTCCCAGGGCTCCCACATCCTCACCACCCTCCTCTCTACCCCACAAATCACCACCACCCACGCCTACACCCGCCGCCCGCTCCCCAACCCCTCCAACTCAAACCTCCACACCATCCAATCCTCCGACCCCTCCACCTGGCCCTCCCACTTCCCCGCAAACGCCACCCTCTTCCTCTCCGCCCTCGGCACCACGCGCGCCGCCGCAGGTAGCATCGCCAACCAGCGCAAAATCGACCTCGAGCTCAACTACGACCTCGCCAAAGCAGCAAAGGAACACGGCGTCGAGACATACGTCCTGATTTCCTCGTCTGGCGCATCGGCGACGTCGCGGTTCGCGTATCCGGCTATGAAGGGCGAGTTGGAGGAGCGGGTCAAGGCGTTGGGGTTTAAGCATTGTGTTATTCTAAGACCGGGGCTTATACTGGGGGAGAGGCAGGAGAGGAGGTGGGCGGAGGGCGTGGCGAGGGGGTTGGCGGGTGTGTTGAAGGGTGTGAGTCCCGGGTTTGTTGAGGGGTGGGCGCAGGATGCGGGGGTTATTGCTAGGGCGGCGGTGAGGGCTGGGGTGGAGTGTATCGAGGGGAGGGGGAAGGAGGGGGTGTGGGAGATTGGGCAGGGGGAGATTGTGAGGTTGGGGAGGGAGGAGGGTGGGGAGTAGGGTGAGAGCGAGTGTGTGGAAGAGCGTGTTTTCAAGGAAGAGATCTGGGAAAGCTGCAGGGGAGGATTTAGTAAGTGTCATAAGTAGAGCTGCTGGTAAGGTGCATAGTTTCGTATACCGGATGATGTTTCTCAGCTATTAGTATTATCCAACACATATTATTTCCCTCTACGAGCATCTATACTCGCATCCAAATTTCTAGTCTTAGAGGAACAAGTGACGACCAATGTCTAAAGCCGCTGTAGCCCCTTGTTCGCCATCGTGCGGAAATCTTCATGGAAATGCCATTCTAGCAGAGAGACCTCAGCCTACCTTTCTAGTGGCGACATGACACTGTGTAAGAATAATAGCAAAGGTTTACTCCGGGGCAAGAAGAAAGTCATAGCAACCAATCAGATCATTCCCCTATATATGATTGGCCCGCCCACCCCTCCGTCAATTTCTCAACGTCGTCGCACCTCAACACCTCTCAAGAGTCCCCGAAACCGTCATATTCCGGATATCACAATGATCCTCATTAGCTAGTATTTATTATCCTGTTAGCAGGATTCGAGAAATCGCGTGCTGATGAGTCCAGCAGATGTCAGTCGAACCATCACTCCACCAGGCTCCACCGCTCTTACCTCCCGGCCCCTGCTCGCTTTTCGGGGCCCTCCGACAGATCTAGCACCCCTGGCACTCAGGCACTCACACCACCATCGCGAGATGCCCAGCCTAGAACAGGGACACTTCAGGGACACTTCAGGCGCACTGGCGGACGCTCCCGAAATCTCTCTTACGCATTAGCCCAGTACTTTGTATTGCTGCCGTCCAGATTCCCTGCCCAATTCAGAAACTAGCCTTGACTGCTCACGCTTTTCGAGAATGATCCGGCACGCTGATGACTGGGCGCGATGTCGATGGTGTGATATCCGCAACTCCTGCGGTCGTGAGATGTCTCGCCCTAGTGGTGGTACGATTCGGGTGAGTGAGAAGCAGTTTGTTTGGGGTGATGGGTAGATGAGTAGGTATAAGGGGAGGTATATATTCAGGTAGGGAGGACGGGGAAGGGGATATTCTTTACTCTGCGTTGGGATAACGAGGTTTTATTCTAGTCTACTCTACTTTTCTCTACTCTCTACTCTACTCTACTCTCCTCTCTATTCCTTTTCCCTGCCCTGGGATAGACGAAGGATATACATAACCGGAACTCTCGACTCTCCACTCTCCCAGGAACGACTTCAACGAAACCACAGGTATTCTCTACTCTCGAACGACTTCAACGAGACCACCAATCACCAACTCAATTCACAAACCACCACTACGACCTACCCTCCTCTCATCCACGCAAGGAAGCAACACCACTCAAACCACCACCACAACTAAACACCAACACCACTCAACCACAACCCTCA